CATAGGAGCTCCGCCGAAGGCCCCAGTGGCACAGTCCGCATGCGTCCCCGCCATTCATTTCGGCCCACTCCACAGGTTTCGTGGCCCCATAGGAGTTCCGCCGAAGGTCCCCGTGGCGCAGTCCGCATGCGTCCCCGCCGTTCATGCCGTCCCACCCCTCACACGTTTCGTGGCCCCATAGGGGGCTCCGCCGAAGGTCCCAGTGGCACAGTCCGCATGCGTCCCCGCCATTTATTTCGGCGCACCCCTCGCACGTTTCGTGGCCCCATAAGAGTTCCACCGAAGGTCCCCGTGGCGCAGTCCGCGTGCGTCTCCCTCACCCAGTGCAGCGCTTCGCGGCCCCATGCGGAGCCCGCCGGAGGTCCCCATGGCGCAGTCCGCACGCGTCTCCCTCGCCCAGTCTTCGGCCAGACTTGCTGGGCGCGATCAGTCCGCAGCCAGACCTTCTCTCGGGGGCTCTCGCCCTGGGCCGTCGCCTTTCCTGCGGGCTGCCCCCTCGGCCGACGTCGCCCAGGCGCGATCCTGGACTGCGGCCGCCACGAAGGGGGAGTGGCAAGAAGCAGGGCGATTACTTGTGGCTGGAGCTCCACGCGCTACTCTCGCGCGCCACGAGGGCCTCCTGCTCACGCGGGCGCCGCGCGTCGAGTTCTTCCCGGCAGGGCCGCCGGGGGGCTTGCGGCAGCAGCTGGGGCAGTTGACTGCGCGCGCGGAGCGGCGCAGGGGGGAGGCGACGGCCCTTGCCAGGGAGCTGGGCTTCACCGAGTTTATCCGCGGGGCTTGATCTAAGGAACGGCCCGCCCGAGCCTCGCCGTCTCTCGACGGTCTGATTTATTGTTTGGCTTCGCGCCGCGGACGACCCGCGCGCGTCGCTGGGGCCCTCTTGGGGCGACCAGCGCGCGTCGCAGGAATTCCGCGCTGCGTTCTGCCCAGCGCCTCGCTCGCCCGTCGTCGCTCTGCCCAGCGGCGAGAGCCTTGCCCGCTATCAGCCAGCCAGCTAGCTCTCTTTGCTCCGCGCAGCGGACGACCCGCGCGCGTCGCTGGGACTCCTCCGGGGCGACCAGCGCGCGTCGCGGGGGCTCCGCGCTGCGTTCTGTCCAGCGCCTCGCTCGCCCGTCGTCGCTCCGACCAGCGGCGAGAGCCTTGCCCGCTATCGGCCAGCCAGCTAGCTCTCTTTGCTCCGCGCAGCGGACGACCCACGCGCGTCGCTGGGACCCCTCCGGGGCGACCTGCGCGCGTCGCGGGGACTCCGCGCTGCGCCGCGCCCGCAGCCTTGGACTTTTGAGTGCGCGGGCAAAGAGGGGGCGCAAGAAGGGGGGGGGCGGGCGCGATCCTCGCGGGGGGGCGCGCCGACATAGGCGTCGCGGCGCGCGGGCGATGCCTCTGGGGGGCCCCAGGGAAGCTCCTTGCGGAAGCCACGCCCAGCGTCGCGAGCACTCAGAGGCAGTCGCTCTCAAACTATTGACATCCATATGCAAGTACACCATGCTTTGTCATACTCGCATTCATGCACGAGACTCGCTCGCACGCAGATTCATCCACAGCCAGACGCGCGCGCGCATATTCACCCGCGCTCAGTCTCCCTACGTATTCATATCAATCGTTTTCGTTCGCGTTGTGTACCACGCCATTCATTTCGGCACACCCCTAGCACGGTTCGTTGCTTCATAGGGATCACCGCCGAAAAAGTGAATCACAATTGCGGTACTCACACCTGCATATGGTTGGGTCCTTCGCCAGGCGATTTCTTGTCTTTCTTCCCTTGTGGGCCTCCTAGAGTGCCGCCGACGTCCCCGCCAAATTTGAGTTCCAAACGTTCAGCAGGACACGGCGCGCGTTCACAGCACGGCGCGGCAATTTGCATGCAGTTTTTGGCAGGGGTGCAGTCAAGGGGGCACGGCACGTTGGCACGGCACGGCGCGGCACGGCAAAACACGGCAATGTTTTTGCATTTCGAAAATTGAGCACGACATGACGCGCGAACGCGGCACAGCAATTGTTCGTTTCCGCGCAGCCAAGCGTGGCATAGCACAAGGCCACACCACGGGTTTGCACGACAACCGATTATGCATTTGCGACGCTAAGCAGGCCGCGGCATGCGGACACGGTTTTGCGCGGCACGGCAGTTTGGCCGCATTGTCGACATACGGCATGGCACAGCACCCGCGCATGGCACGGCACGACACGGCTATTTCTTCACATTCTCGAAATGAATCACGGCGTTGCTCATTGGCACGGCACGGTACGACCGTTTTTCCAGATGCGCGAAGCCAAACACGCCGCAGCACGGCATGCGTGCACGGCACGGCACGACACGGCATGTGGCTCACATTCTTGAGATCGAGCACGCCACGGCATGTGGGCATGGCGCGGCACGGGAGTTATTCAGCACTCCCCAAACCAAGCACGGCAAGGCACGCGGGTTCAGCATGATGCGGCATGGCAGCGTTTATGCGCTTCCGAAACAAATTATCGCACGGCACAGCACGCGGGCACGGCGGGGCACAGCACATGTCTCGCATTCTCGAGACGAATCACGGCACGGCACGCGAACACGGGACTTTCGTTCGCATTCTGAAACCTAGGCGCGGCACGGCCCTTTCCCGCATTATGAAGCCTATGCGCGCTTTTCCGTGCAATTCTCCGCGTGCTAAGCACGGCACGGGCCGGTCTTTGTGATTCCAGTATGAACCCTGGGCGCGCCCTAGTGCGGCTATTTTCCGGCACTCGAGAAGCAAAGCACGGCACGGCACGGCACGTTCGTTTGTTCGTGCATTATGAAAACCAGACCCGGCACGCCTCGTAGGGATTTCGGCTCGAGCATTCTTGTGCAGTCTATACGGTTGCTGCGTGCTCGCGAAGTCTCGCGCGTGCTCCCAGCGCGTGGCCAGGCTGGCCGGAGCGCGCAAACAAAGAGATGCCGGCCGCGGGGGCCCGCGTTGCTCTGCTCGCCGTGGTTTCGGGGCTCGTCGCCGCGGCCTCGCTCGGCGCCGCCAGCGCGCCGCGGTCTGAGGCGGAGGTGGACGCCCAGCAGGAGTGCGAGCACGCGGCCGCGCGCGTCGAGGCCCTTCAGCGGCGCTCGGTGCTGACGGGCTCCCGGGCCCCCACGGAGGAGGAGGAGCTGGAGGAGTCTCGCGCCGAGGCCGAGATGGAGGGCAACCCATATGCGCCTGGGCCCAACGTTTACCTCGCGACCATTGTGGATCCACGAAATTTCCGGAGTTATTGCCTGGACATCGCCGGTTCCCCGCCACACCCGCAGCGCGGCAGCATCCAGGGCCACAGTTGCAAGACCGAGGGCGAGGACACCCAGTTCAAGTACGACCCCGACAAGCAGCAAATCCGTTCCGTCAACTTTAATGAGCGTTGCAACCCGCTGTACAGCGGGTCGACGAACGGCAGATCATGGGAGGCGGATCGTGGGGATCCTGCTTGTCTTACTGTCCACGGAGACTTTGAAGCTGGGTCCACCTTCGGCCTCACGAGTTGTGTCAGTTCCGGAAGCGACAAGCAGACATTCTCGTTCACGAGCAGGGGGCAGTTTGTGGTAGGCGACGGTTCCTCCTCCCTATGCGTCGTCTTGGGAATGAACGCGACGGAGTATACGGATCAGGACTTCTTCACCCGCCCCGCAGAACTCCAGGACTGCGAGTCGTGGCCGACGGAGTTGTCCACGTGGGAGGTCCTTCTCCCAGACCACACCACTCTTTCTGGCATCGATACCAGCTCCTCCAGTCAGGGCCTGCTGGCAGTGAGGGACCAGCCTGCCAGTTGGAGCACATGACTCCGACCCAATTATCTTATCTGCGGAGGTTGACCATGCACGGGTTGCTTCCAATTCGTTTGTTCTTTTTTGTGTTAAGTTTCTTTCGCATTTGCGAGGCAGCACGTGGGGATCCTCTAGGAGCGTTCTAGGGGTTGAATGTTGAACCCGAGAGACAAGGTCTTAAACATGGAAACTTGAGTTCCCGCCAACCCTGGAAAGGCTTCTCCACAACCCTGGAAAGGCTGTTCTCAACCCTGGAAACGGGAAGGCCGAACACCGGAAACGCAAAGGTTGAGCAGTGGAAACGGAAAAGGAAAGTTGTGTTGGGGTGGGCTACATGGGAAGCGTGATGGGTAGGATATCTGCAGATGGAGGAGGAGGAGGAGGAGGAGGAGCAGGAGCAGGAGCAGGAGCAGGAGCAGGAGCAGGAGCAGGAGCAGGAGCAGGGGCACGGGGCAGGGGGCCGCTGGGCGCCATGGCTCTTGCCCGCCTCCGCAATCCGACCGGTCCTGCCTGGGTCGCCTTGGCGGGCGCGGCTGGCGCTGGCCCGTGGGCGCCGTGGGCGCTGCAAGCTGCTCGCGACCCCCCGGTTCGCGAGGTCGTTGGGGAGGTCGGCGCTGCAGGTGCCGCGGCTGCCTCTGCGGCAGCTTCTGCAGCGGCCGACTGGATCGAGGAGGCGGTCGAGCATGTCGCGCCCGCCGCCGCGGGCAACTTCACGGGCAACTGCACTCGGGGGCGGAAAAGAGGGGGGTGATGACTAGGGGGGGGGGATTTCATGCCGGGGGCCATGATTTTTCCCCAGATTTCATGGCGCCTCTTCTTATGTTATTACGTCCCTGGCCCCCCCGCTGGGCCGCGCACAGGCCGCCGGTCATGATTTGCACCCCCCCTCTTGGACACCCCCCTCTTGGCCGCTCCCGATACACGGACGGCGTCGACGGAGTCGTCTGCTCCTCGCACTGGCAGCTGGGCCTCGCCCTCGCCGCCGTCGTCACCCTCACATGCTGGGCTGCCGCTGCGGCCGCCTGCTGCTGCGCCCCTCTCGGCGCCCCTGGGCACGGATCATGGGCGCGGCGCCGCCCGGTGCCCGGTGCAGCGCAGATGCCCCTGGCCCAGCTCGCGAACCTCATCGTGGAGGGCGGGGAGGAGGCGGTGCAGTCCGCTGCGGTCGAGATGGCGGTGGACCCTGCTGCTATTCGTACCTGGCTGGTGCATTGGCGCAAGGCTCAGCGGGGGCCGCGGTGCCTCTGATGGTCCGCGGTACCCGCTCCTGGGCGGGTGGCTGCGGGATCTTATAGAAGAGGGCGTCCACCCGCACCCAGGCCCACATTGGCACGTGCTGAGGTCCCTCGTCCATGGCGGTTTCCAGCACACGGTGCAGGCTGCCGTCCGCGCCGCCGACGCTGAGTTCGCCGCGGGCGCCGCCGCCGCAGCGGTTGCAGGAGGCGGTGGAGGGGGACCGCAGATTCCCGGTTTCGTGACGCCACCGTCCGGCGGAGAAGAGCATTGGCCGTGGCAGGGCCGCTTGGAGGTCGCGCTGGTGACGCCTCCGCTGCGCAGGCCGGAGCTGCAGGAACTCCGCTGCAGCATCGAGGAGCAAGTCCGGCACCTCGAGCAGCGCTGGCGGAGCAGCGGCACGGAGGAGGAGGAGAGAGGGGATCAGGAGTAGGAGCAGGCGGCAGCCCATCGGCCACGCGGCCGGGACAAGAGTCGGCGGCAGCCGCCGACTCTGGCGACCGCCAGGAGGCAGCTGGAGGCCATGCAGGTGCAGAGGTTTCGGAAGCCACGTTGCCGTCGGGCCCGCTGGGCGGGCTGCCGGCGAGGGCGCCGAGCAGATTTGCTTTGGAGGCTTTGGAGGCCACGCGGCTATGGGGCAGTCTGGGTGCCGAGCGTCGCGAGGGCCTGCTGTCCTCTGGCGGTCCCGGCGCGGGCGCCCTCTGGCTCCAGATGCCCGCGCAGCCAGCGGACTACTTCCCCACGGCGCACTTCCGGGCTGCTGTCCGCGCCTCCCGGGGCGACGTGCCGGATCGAGCGCAGAGGCGGTGACTGCGAGGACGTCTGTGGCAGGCAGCTGGATCGGACCCTCCGGCACCCGCAGCTTTGCAAACAGGGCCCGGCCAGGATGAGACCGCATCGCGCCCTGGCGGCGACTTTGGCCCGCCTGCTGCGGGAGTGCCGCGCCGAGGTTGACATCGAGCGCACCGTCGCCGAGCTCGAGCGAGTCACTCCGGCCGGCAGGGTTGAGGAGGCGATCTTGGATTCGGTGGTCAGTTTACCAGGCTCGGTGCAACCGCTTTACGTCGACGTCACCATCAGGTGCCCGCGCGCTGCGAGGTACCTGCGCGCGGCGACCGTGGCGGGCGACGCGGCTGACGAGGCAGCCAGAGGCAAGCGCCAGCGGTACGGCAGTGCGGTCCTCCCTGTTGCCGTCGAGTCCTACGGGCGGCTAGGCGCTGAAGCTGTCCGCTCTCTGGAGCATCTGGCCACTTATGCTGGGGCATGCATCGCTGACGATTGTGCGGCCCCCAGGCTGGTCCCGCGGTGGCGCGCCGCGCTGGAGCGGATCACGCAGTAGGCCGCCACCGAAATCGACCTCCTGGCCTTCGGCTGCGCGCCGACCGCCGCTCAGGCCCGGGTCACCTGGGGCCGCGTTTTGGGCGTGGCGGCGCAGTCGTAGCAGCCGCCATTGTATTTTATGTTCATGTGTTCGGCCGGAGTTCGCTTCCAGGTGGTGTCAGCAGGAGCAGGAGGAGCAGGAGGAGCAGGAGCAGGAGTGGCAAGAGGAGGGGAAGGAGGAAGAGGTAGCGAGACGAGGAGGAGGAGGAGGAGGAGGAGGAGGAGGAGGAGCAGGAATAACGGGGTGGAGCAGGAGGAGGAAGAGGAGGAGGAGGAGGAGGAGGAAACGAAGAAAGAGGAGGAGCAGGAGGGGGGGGTGGAGGACGAGGAGGACCAGGAGGATGGAGGACGACCGACCGACTAATCTACCGACGACGACGACGACGACGCTTCCGTTATAGCGGACGGCGACGACGCCGATGCGTTCGTGGGTGGCGGAGAGAACTCAGCGTGGAACATATGCGCATCCAACGTACCGCGTCCAAAACCAACTCCGACGGCCGCGACCATCGCGGAATTTAGAATCGCAACAACGACAGGAATCAGGGAAAAAAAAACGAAAAAGGGGAAGGACAAAACCTAACTCTGTGATTTCCGCGCCCACACCGCTTGTGCCCCGTCGAGGAATTCGCCAGACTACTTCGCGGGGGCCCAGTGTTGGGCCCCGTTGCAACCTCTCCGTTGCACTTGGCGACCGCATCGGAGCCTTTTTGCCTAACAGCGAAGACTGATAGGTTTCTAGTGGTTTCAAGAGAGCGCCATGACTCCCCGGAGGGGGTTTGGGCAGATACGGGACGGGTGCCGCGGGAATCCGGGGACTCCCGCGGGAATCTGGGGACTCCCCATTTTGATTGCCAGGAGCAGCATTTTGACTGCCTGGAAAAAGAAAACACCACTCCCGGGCCACATTTTGAATGCCCGGAGCCAGTTGTAGGCACTTCGTGTTCTTCGTGTTCCCAGAACACTCCCAAGCCACATTTTGAATGCCCGGAGCCAGCCGTGGGCCACTTCGTGTTTTTCGTGTTCCCAGAACACCTCTCCCAGGCCACATTTTGAATGCCCGGAGCCAACTGTAGGCCACTTCGTGTTCTTCGTGTTCCCAGAACACCGCTCCCAGTCCACATTTTGAATGCCCGGAGCCAACTGTAGGCCCCTTCGTGTTCTTCGTGTTCCCAGAACACCACTATTGTAGCATATTTTGAATGCCCGGACCAAGTGTGGGCCACTTCGTGATCTTCGTGCTCCCAGAACACCAGTCCTGTGCAGGTTTTGAATGCCCGAGCTGAGGCAGGCTGAGGCCGAGGCAGGCGGAGGCCGAGGCAGGCTGAGGCTGACCCCGAGGCACGCCCAGGCAGGCTGAGATTGAGGCCGATGCAGGCTCACGCTGAGGCAGGCTGAGGCTGAGGCTGGCGCAGGCTGAGGCCGAGGCAGGCTGAGGCTGAGGCTCAGGCAGGCTGAGGCTGAGGCAGGCTCGGGATGAGGCAGAGGCGGGCTGGGGCTGAGGCTGAGGCTGATGCAGGCTGAGGCTGAGAGGCTGACGCTGAGGCTGAGGCAGGCTGAGGCTGAGGATGAGGCCGAAGCAGGCTGAGGCTGAGGCTGAGGAAAGCCGAGGCAGGCTGAGGCTGAGGCTGGAGCTGAGGCAGGCTGAGGTTGAGGCTGTGGCTGAGGCTGAGACTGAGGCAAGCTGCGGCTGAGGCAGGCTGAGGCTGAGGCTGATGCAGGCTGAGGCTGAGGCAGGCAGAGGCTGAGGCTGCGGCAGGCTGAGGCTGAGGCTGAGGCCGAGGCAGGCTGAGGCTGAGGCAGGCTGAGGCTGAGGCAGGCTCGGGATGAGGCTGAGGCGGGCTGGGGCTGAGGCTGAGGCTGATGCAGGCTGAGGCTGAGAGGCTGACGCTGAGGCTGAGGCAGGCTGAGGCTGAGGATGAGGCCGAAGCAGGCTGAGGCTGAGGCTGAGGAAAGCCGAGGCAGGCTGAGGCTGAGGCTGGAGCTGAGGCAGGCTGAGGTTGAGGCTGTGGCTGAGGCTGAGACTGAGGCAAGCTGCGGCTGAGGCAGGCTGAGGCTGAGGCTGATGCAGGCTGAGGCTGAGGCAGGCAGAGGCTGAGGCTGCGGCAGGCTGAGGCTGAGGCTGAGGCCGAGGCAGGCTGAGGCTGAGGCCGAGGCAAGCCGAGGCAAGCTGGGGCTGCGGCTGAGGCTGAGGCTGATGCTGAGGCAGGCTGAGGATGAGACAGGCTGAGGCTGAGGCTGAGGCAGGCTGAGGCTGAGGCCGAGGCAGGCTCAGGCCGAGACAGGCTGAGGCTGAGGCTGAGGCTGAGGCTGAGGATGAGGCCGAGGCAGGCTGAGGCTGAGACAAGGTGAGGCTGAATGGGGGGGGAAGGGGGGGAGGAGGGGAGGCTGAGACAGGCTGAGGCCGAGGCAGGCTGAGGCCGAGGCCGGCTGAGGCTGAGGCTGAGGCAAGCCGAGGCAAGCTGAGGCTGAGGCTGAGGCTGAGGCTGAGGCTGAGGCTGAGGCAGGCTGAGGCTGCGGCAGGCTGAGGCTGAGGCTGACGCAGGCTGAGGCCGAGGCAGGCTGAGGCTGAGGCTGAGGCAAGCCGAGGCAGGCTGAGGCTGAGGCTGAAACTGAGGCAGGCTGAGGCATCCGTAGGAATCCATAGGAATCCTCAGGAATCCCTAGGAATCCTTAGGAATCCGTAGGCATCCTTAGGAATCCGTAGGCATAGTTAAGCATCCTCAGGAATCCTTGGGAATCCTCAGGATTCCTCAGGAATCCTTAGGAATCCGTAGGAATCCCCAGGAATCATGATTCCTAAGGATTCCTAAGGATTCCTATGGATTCCTAAGGATGCCTAAAGATTCCTTAGGAATCCCTAGGAATCCGTAGGATTCCATTGGATCCTAAGGCCGTTGCCACTGCGACTGTCATTGCGAATGCGACTGCGACTGCGAGAACAGCAGAATTCTGCAACTGAATTATCACCTGAATCTTAAGGGGACTGCTTCCAGGTATGCTGATACACATCGCTGGTAGGTTGCTTTGCCGGGACCATTTTTTGCGCTTGCAGCCAGTGCCGAAAGCCCTTTCCCCAAGACAGGAATCCGAGTGATAGTTCGGATTGACGTCTTGGGGGTCCTTGACCAGAACCATCGCGCACGCTTCGCCTCCTTCGCCCGCGCTCACGTCAAACGTGCCATGGGGCCTAGCATAGAGCGTCAGACGTTTCGTGTCTGGATGAACGAATCCTTGGCTTAGACGCGCACGCCTTGGCCGCTGATTTCGCGCTTTGGATTGTATTCAAGGCAGTCTTGGGCCATCCTTTCGGCCAGTGGTCCTGGGTCTTCCTTCTGGTCAACGTGGGCCTCTGGGGCAACCTTCGGGCCACGCGTTCGCAACGCATATAAACTCCAGACAAGAAAGCAAGACACGCTGGGGCGGAATGCCTTTGGTGTTTGTCTGTTGTGGCCCTCTTGGGTACTCCAGATTTCGTAAAAAAAGGGGGGGGTTCTGGACCCTCCAAGGCAAGCCATTTCAGACCCCCCCCCCCTGGGAGAACCCTCCAGAACATCGTCCCCAGACCCCCCCCAGGCCCTCCAAGATAGCCTGGAAGAGACCCCCCCCGAAATGAGACCCCCCTCCCTTTATTACGAAACCTGGAGTATCCTGTGTGGGCACTCTGGCGGCTTCACCAGCCCTCGGCATACCGCCGGAAGCTGCCTGGGGCAGCCTGGGAGCCTCGTGGGACAGTCGCGAGGCCCTCTGGGAAATTCACCACCGCTCCGGGGGCCTCCTTGGGAAGCTCAGGCGGGTTCTGGAATGCCCACAAAGGAGAGGCGCCACTTAGGGGGCCCTGGGTGCCACGTGCGTGCTGCGGCCTGGGGCCGCTGGGGCCCCGCGGGCCGGGTGTTCTGACCGCTCAGCCTTAGTTTGGTGATTTTGTCGGCTTTGTGTGGCGGCTGGGGGGGGCGCACGGGAAAATCACCAAATTCGGGGGCCCCTCGTCCTTGTTGTTTCCTTGTTCCCTCTCTCTCTCACTCTCCCCCCCCTCCCCTCTCCGCTTTCGCTTTGCTTGCCTGTCAATCCAATCTGCACGTCCCCCTTTTGCCTGCCTGTGTGTTTGTATCGGATTCGTCAGCGTATGTGTGCGCGTATGTGTGCGTGTGTGTGTGTGTGTGCGTGTGTGTGTGTGTGTGTGCGTGTGTGTGTGTGTGTGTGCGTGCGTGCGTGTGTGAGCGTATGTGTGTGTGCGTTTGTGCGTGTGTGCGTGTGTGCGTGTGTGTGTGTGTGCGTGTGTGTGGGTGTGTGCGTGTGTGTGGGTGTGTGCGCGGGCGTCTCATGGTCGGGTCGTTTTCTACGCGGCCGTTGGGGCCCCGCGGGCCAGGTTCTCCGACCGCTCCGCCCCAGTTTGGTGTTTGCGTCGGCGTTGTGTGGCAGGGGGTGGGGGGCGCGTGGGGAAATCATCAAATTAGGGTACCTCCCTTTGTTGTTTATCTTCCATGCTTTTCCCAACCATCATGTGGTGTTGGGTCCTCGTTTTGAAGGGACAGCGCCCCGCGTCTCCTCTCCTCCTCCTCTTCCCCCTCCTCCTCCTCCCTCCTCCCATCCCTGCCTCTCCTCTCCGCGTGCCGTCCTCACCATCATTATCGTGATCTTCACTGTGATCACCATCGCCATCATCGACGTCATTAACATCGCCATCGTCAGCGTCGTGACTGTGTTCTCCGCATGTCCATTTCGGCACACCCCTCACACGGTTCGTGGCCCAGAGGGAGTTCCACCGAAGGCCCCAGTGGCAGGGTCCACATGCGTCCCCCCGCCCACTTTGGCACATCCCTCACGCGGTTCATGGCCCACAGGGAGTCCCACCGAAGGCCCCAGTGGCAGGGTCCGCATGCGTCCCCCCGCCCATCTCGGCGCGCCCTTCACGAGGATCGTGGCCCCACAGGGAGTCCCACCGAAGGTCCCAGTGGCAGGCAGGGTCCGCATGCGTCCCCCCGCCCATTTTGGCACACCCCTCACACGGTTCGTGGCCCCACCGGGAGCTTCACCGAAGGCCCCAGCGGCAGGGTCCGCATGCGTCCCCCCGCCCATCTCGGGGCGCTTTTCACGAGGATCGTGGCCCCATAGGGAGCTCCACCGAA